CTAAATTTTAAGACATCAGCTTAGATGTACCTTTAAAACTTATAATTAGACTAAAGCACTTACTTCCAACACTTGAGAAGAAAGATCATTTGTATACTCTCTTCTTTGCCATTGCAATTCAGCTTTGATGTCCCTTACGTCATTATGAAGTTCCTGAACTAGGATGTACAAGGAGTGATTTTGGGTAAAAAGTTATTTATCAACAGCATGGCAGCTACTTCATGTATGTTCTTCAATTCAAAAGATTTGTTTAAAGAAAAAAAAAAACTTTCATAAGAAAGAAAAAAAAAAACTTTAATAAAAAAGAAAAAAAAAATACAAAAGTATGATATTCAAAAATAAAAAAAAAAAGACTTATATATAGAAATACTATCCAAATTTCATGGCTGATTTTAATTGGCTGATCATTTTTCTTATGATCTATCTCATGATCTATGCGAACAGTGCTGTAGCAATAAGAAATGATCTTTATCATTATTTGAGGATATTTGTTGAGAATGAGAGGGCTGGCAGAAAGGCTGAATGGATTGTGATAGTTGGTGAAAAGGTTGATGTGATTCTGAACAAAGTGTCAAGAACCATTGTGATCAAGTTTTCATCTTAGAAAAAGTATTATGAATGCTATAAACACTTTTTGCTGTATCTAAAGAATCATCAGAGGAATTATTATTAGTAGCCACTGTTTTAGTATTAAATGATTGAAAGCGAGAGTTATTGGGTAGTGAAGCATTATTTGGTGGTGAAGTATTATTTGGTGGTGAAGTGTTATTTGGTGATGAAGTGTTATTTGGTAGTAAAGTGTTATTTGGTAGTGAAGTGTTATTGGATAGTGAAGTGTTATTGGGTAGTAAAGCATTATTAGGTGGTGAAGTGTTATTGGGTAGTAAAGCATTATTAGGTGGTGAAGTGTTATTGGGTAGTGAAGCATTTTTTAAAAAACTTATTTTCAAAAAAAAAAAAATTTCAAAAAATGTTTTACCTTCAACTTTGGATATCTAATGTTGGAAATCTTCTGTATTTATATATTTGTAATCTTTTATAAAATTAAATTCTAATGCAATATAATGATAAAGTATATAAAGTATATAAAATATAACAAATGAAACAAATATACTTATCTTATTTTTTTGTTATTATATTTTATAACTATATATTGAGATATTTCACGTATCTGAGATTTTTCGCTTTATTATATTTCTTTTGTATTTTTGTAATTACAAAAGAATATATATATCAATATAATATGAAAGCTGCTAGTAACCTTACATCAATATAATATAAGTGCCACCAAGGGAAAACAGTAACCTGGAGTTTAATTTTTTTTTTTTTTTTTTTTTTTTTTTTGTGTTAAAGGTCATACTTGTGGTGATACTTTATTGACTTTTTATTGGGTTAGCTATTACAACTATTTTTCAGAGATGAGAGTACAGCTAGTTACATGTGCAACTTTTGGTTACCTATTTAAGTAGTCCGCCCTAAGGTTCTACACTAGATGCCGTACCTATAACCTATTAGGAGATTATTCATTTAAACCCTCTGATCATTTGCCCTGTCATATTGGAATCACCAACTAACCCTCCATATATACCTACCCGGTATATCGTCTGAGCAGTATGGTACCTACCTTTTTTGTACTGGTTCCCAGGCCGTTACATATTTCAGAGTACGTCACCTGCCAGTAAGGCACAGGGAGCCCCCTGTTGTTAACTATCTACCCACTTTTAGAACACTAATACAGGCTACTCTTGCAGAGTTCACCCAGACCCCAG